TATATCTGATCTTAAGGGTTGGATACATTGGTGCTTCTATAAGAAAAGTTAGGATGATTCCTGTAATTGTTGAAACCTCCTCCTTGTTGATTCATGTAGACGGCTTCTTCTTCTATAATTGTCCCATCTTTTCCTTGTGTAGCATCAATTTCACCCACATAGCTCACATTCTTGAAAGACACACTCAAAAGCTTGTCAAGATTGTCATTCAAAGCCTTGATTTCGTTCTTCGTAGTACTCTCACTTTCAGCACTTCCAACAACTCTTGATGTTCTATAATACTCTTCACCAGAATTGCCATATGATAAAGCCAAATTCTCAACCAAAGAAAGACCATCAACTACTCTGTTTCCCATGAAGTTAACATTAGATGCAGTGTCTAGGAGCATTCTGTATTTGGGAGTGACACCTCTATACAAAGTAGACAGCAGACTTTTATTGGTGAAGCCATGGTGCAGACATAGCAATGTGTATGACCTAAAACGCTCCCATGCTACAACAAATGTCTCATTTCCGTGTTGTGCAAAGCTGCTGATTGTATTCCTGAGCTTTATTGTTTTTGTTGAGCTAAAGAACTTATTGAGAAATGCTGTTTTGCCCTCATCCCATATTAAGATTGAACCTTGTGGAAGGGTCTTCTCCCACTGATGTGCTTTGTCTCCTAAACTGAAGGGGAACAAGCGCAGCTTTGAAGCATCTTCAGACACACCTTGAATCTTAGTCACGCCATGCACTTTGTCAAACTGATCTAAATGGTCCAATGGATCTTAATTTGGTAGACCATGGAAGCGGTTTCCTTGAACCATGTTGATTAGGCCTAGCTTGATCTCAAAGCGATTCTGGTGCACAGCTGGAGAATGAATCCCATTGCGGTTGTGATGTGTATCATGCGCCTCACCAGCTCCTATAGATCTCTTAACTCTTGGTGCATGAACCGGAACTCTAAAACCCTGAACTCCAGCCGCATGGTTCATATCTTCTTGAATCTTATCTATGTGTGTTGCTGCTTGTGGTAATGGTCCTTGTCCAACAACACCAACGTGTGGCAACTGACCACCTTGCTCTCCCATGCTCTGTTCTTCTAACGCCTGAACTCTCTGTCTTACAGCTCTTCTCTTAACCCCACGGTCTAGATGATGAATGTTGTCTATAGGAGGGACTAAGCTTGTTGAACCTTTAGACCTCAAATTCATGCAAGTACCTGAAAAAACAGAGAAATCAAAATATAGCTTATAAGTAACTGAAAGAAAGAAAAACTTAGACTAATAGCAATATCAAACTCAAAGTATCCACAAGGGCAACAATGCTTTTTGTGCTCTAGAACCAAATATTCTCAGTCTCTAATCGAATGTAATATAGGGATAAGGTATCGAACAATTGTGGATGAGTTGAGATGCAAACAATGTTGTAAGCTAATTCAAAGGGGTTCTAAAAGGACCAAGATGCAAGACTAACAATCTAGCAATGTAAGAAAACAGAACAGAAATGCAACTAAACAAAAACTAAACAAAATGAGTCTTAAGCAAAGAACTAAAGCAAAAGATGACAACTTAATCAATACTAAGTAAGATGAAAACTGAATTAAAGCAAGCAAAGACAACTAAAGCAAGATGCGGTTTAAGACAATAAAAAGAAAGCAAGATCCAAGGTCCTAAGAAATAATGGTCAAGCGGTTTACAAGAGTGGCTAAAGGGAATTCTAACAAAGGCAAACATTAAGCACATAACAAGCAAGCAATTCTCAATATTGCAATCCTAAGCAAGGTATCTAAGGAAAGATCTTCTTAGTGGTTAATAAGCTAATCCAATTCAACAAGACTAGAGTCTCGAACCCTCTTTTGATGGTGTATTCTCTAACCATGAACATAAAGAGCAGAACCATAAAGCCTAAAAGAAGTACTAATCAAGTAAATTTCTCTCACCCAAGCAAGAATTCAGATCAATCTATCAATCTTTTGAACCATATATGGACCTAAGTAGTTAACTCAACCAATCAAGAATATAGAATCAAGCTCACAATTGTGAAACCTAAAAATCCTAAGCAATGAACAGGAATGAAACAAAAGCATGTTCTTCTAATGCAAACTATGTAACCATCAAGCAAGTGTCTCAAAACAAGCACTATCAAGCCCTAAGCGAATCATCTAGCAAGGAAAAATATCACTTTGGTGACACTAAACAAAGGAAACATAAGCCAAGCTAGACTATCAAGACAAATAAGTGAATCATACCAATAACAATACTTCAAGCCATCAAGTGAATCATATGCATCAACAATACCATATTCAGTCAAAAGAGAGAAGCTTTATGAACAATAATCACTTTGCAAGAGAAGGACAATAAAGAATAAACTAATCAAGCCTTATCACCCCCTAATCACATCTTAAATTCAACTTTCCCTACTTAGAACCTCAAATATAAAGTAAACTACTTATTAATCATGTTTAATCTCATTTGATTAGAGTTAAACATGATTAGATGAGATTAAATGCAAAATATGGAAACTAAACTACAAGGGTGCGCAAATCAAAGATCAGTAAGCATGATTAAGCTATAAAATGCAAGAATAGATTAAGAAAGATAAGGTTTAATACAAAGATGGCAAATCGCCCTTTTGTAGCTAAAGGATAAGAAAAAGATCAGATGATGTAGTTTGCATAAGGGTAATGTATTGTGGTTTCCCTTTTATAGTAGGGAACAAAAGAAGGATAGAAAACCTAAAAACAAGATAAGATCAACGGAAATCCGGCCAAACACGTAGATAAAGCATATCCGGGTTGTACGGATGGTGTTTAGCTCGATGCACCACCCTGATATGGTCTGTGTAGCGTTTATCAGCTTGTGTAGCTTTCCCTGCTTGATGCAGCACTTCGCGTAGACCAATGCCTTAGAATCCATGATCTAGTCCTCTTCTTCATGCACCACGGCTTACATCAGGCATACTCCACAGAGGTTTTGCTCGATGCTTCTCCTCGATATGGGACAAAACTTTGCAATGCTCCTTCTTTGGCATCTCTTCGAACATGAGTTGTTTCCATCTCCTCCCCATACTCTAGCTAAACAATGTAAACCCGCATAAGCTACCTTTTTAGAACGTTAAACCCAAATAAAACCCAAAAAATCTTCTTTTAAGCTCTTTGGAGGACACTTCTTCTTTGAACTTCAAGTGGTGGTAAAAATGCTAAACTAATATGCAAAAACAAGGAAAAAGATGCATAAAATATTCGACTCCGCAGATTTGACGTTCTGCAGAGCTTGATTAATCAGGGCCATCAGATCACTTTTCTCTTTCTTGATCTGGACCCTCCATGTCAAAAAAGCATCCATGCAAATCTTATCGAGAACTGCACTTGCCCCAAGAAGCTCGATTGCTGAAATAAAAGTAAATAACAAGATTGGACTTTTCAGTTTTAAACCAAAATAATAAACTTATCTTGTCATTCGAGCTACAATTTCGAGATCGACCCTTGACCATACGATCAATTAGACTTTTCATCTTTCCATGTCCGAACCGTTGATCTCGAATGATCATCTGACACCATGACATCAGCGTGTTATATATGAGATCTTTCAAAAAGTAACATTTTGCCGCCCATTAAAGCTAAAAGTCGTTCTCGTTAATGGGCTGGGGGCAATTCTTGGAGTTGGATTTCACACAATAAATCCGGCTCACTCAAGCCCAACAAGCAAACCCAAACTAAGCATAAATTGGCTGGGCTCCATTCATATAGCCTAGGCCCAGTCTTTTGCAAAGATCCAAGCATGAACATTAGTGTTCCATTCGACGAGGTCGAGCTTTAGCTCGATAAAATCCCGAGAAAAAGGTAAGGATCTAGACCAAGTCGGAGCATATTCCCACCAGTTCAAACAAGTCCGAGATTTCCGGGAGAGGTTGCTGCACGTGGCTGTTGAAGCTCGACGAGGAGAGCTATATAAAGGAGGAAAGCTGCATACTTTGGGGGGGGATCCGTTCTTACACTTTCTGATACTCGGAAACTCTGTAACCGCTCTTTGAGCTCTTTTCACATCATCTCTTTCAGAGAAAATCCTGAAACTGTTTTATTCACCTGATTAATATCAAGTCCTTATTTTAGTTAGTGCCTGCTTATACCGTCAATCTGTTTGAGAGAATCTAACCTGTAATTTTCCTAAAGTTCCTTTCCTTACAAAACACATAAATTAATGAGTGTAGATTTCTGTATCCACAATCAGTTTTTTTTAATTGATGTTTACCGTTTTAGCTTGATCTGGACCAAACTTACAGCGTTTTTATGTGCCAATCTATGTATCGATGCCCGGGATGTCTGCGATGGACCATGCAATGTGCTTATATTTTCCTTTAGAAAATCGATTAGCTCGTCACAAATTATCTTCACGAGATCATCCCCAATGCCTACGCACCTTTCGGGATTGGCCTCGTCTATACACTTACTCAATTAATTTTGTACGAGCTTCTCAGACGGAAGGGTATTTGTTGTGTTTAAGTTGTCGAGCTACGAGCTCTTCCTCTTTCTGTAATTACTATACGGAGGATTTTTTGGTTCGCAATTAGTTGCTCATATAGCAATCTCACGAGGCTCGTTGGGATTTGCAAATCGTTTTGTTACCCAAAGAAGTTGGGAATTTGACGTGGCATGGAAGCTACAACTTTCATCGTGTAGAGCCACAACCTGCCAACTATGGCATTGAATGGAGCCAGGCGGTCTACAACCATAAAGTTAATTGATTTTATGAGCCTGCCGGCTTTAACTGGGAGCTGGATAGTTCCTAATAAAAAGTTTGTTTCTCCGGCAAAACCGATGAGTGGAGTTCGATCGCTTGACAGCATGAATATTTGGTATCCCATACCTTTGAAAGCATCGAAGAACAGTATGTCTACAAAGACCATCTCCAATGCAAAGAACCTCTAATGGGTTCTCAACATTATTTTAATTATAAATTTTGAAAATTTTTTGAGTTTATAATCTCTTTAAGAATAATTAAACTTGCATAGCTCCAATGGTAGAATCTCAAGTGAGATTCATAAAAATATTCAAACTGCATATTCACTATGAAAATGATAAACATGGAAAACCCAAGAAAATGAATTCAAACTCTAGAATATCACACAGAGTAAGAGACAGAGGACACTAAAGAGATCAAATCCATACGACTAAATACAGCTATTAAGAGTGTGACATCCTCAGAAACATAAAATGGAACTTGGTGATCGTGGATAGAAACTGTCTACTAATTAAGTAAACCAAAATAAAATCTACATACTGTATCTGCTGCAATCAAGACTCTGTGTTCTCCCTCATCTTCACATTCATTAGTTTGCAGTTTCGACACAACGGCCTGTGATGCCGTTAATAAATAAATGAAGGGAAACAAGAAACCAACATAAACATAAACAAGAAGTTAATTAACAAAGCAAACAACATATCACTCGAAGAAACATGCACCATACAAATTAGAAGATGACATAGATAAGAATCCATAACCAGAGGTTACAAATATTTGCTTCTAAATTGATTAATCAAAGTACCTTTGCCTTAGCTAAAGCCAATACTAACTCTTCAGGTTTCTCATTGCGGATGCTTTTCTCATCAATATCAGCACTCTAGATACAAAAGTGGAGTTTTTAAATGTCTCAAAGGAAGACAAAAATGGATTGAACTAGAGATTACCATTACAGCGAATTGGTATCCCATGTCTGTTAATATCTTACGTCGAGCAATCGAAGAAGATCCCAAAATTAGCTGCGACGAAAAGTAATGAGAAGGAAGAAGAATTAGCAGCAAACTACAGAACCCAGAATCTCCAGGGATTAACATATTAACAAAGCACAAGCTAGACCCCGAATTCCAACATTATGGAGGGTTTGTAAGAAAGAGAAATGCTAGAGAGCTCGAAATCTCGCACATAATCGAATGCATAAAACAGTTCAAGAGCCAAATACAGAAAGAAATCGAATGAGAGATGCGGCAAAATCGAAAGCTAAGGGAGTGCCAAGTGGAAAAGGATGCGGACCTTGAAGTGAGGACGATTCAATTCCATTTTCTTATTCAGCTAGACGCGAGCTTGAAACCCAGTACTAACTTTCCAGAGCTCTAAAAAATGAGTACATTCCATCAACCTATAAATCTAGCTTTGAAAACTCTGAACCATTCTACAAAATACCGCAGAAAAAATCAGGCTTTTAAGAAAGAGCTATAAAGGTTACGCTAAGAAAGCTTACAGCTTCTTTGATGTAGACACATGAAGCAGCTCATTTCCATCTAGGATCAGAATCAGGGAAATTCTAATGGAACACGATGATTCAGAAGATGTAGAAGGAGCATCGTGCCCGTTGTTCTGTGTGGCTGAAGAATCATCAACGAAATTATAATCGCTGCAAAAACCAAAGATCACTGCAAAAATTAAACTTGAGAACGATTGGAACATTGAAGACAATGAAATTGAAATCGCCAATAGATACATGAAACTAGCAATTAACAAGAGCTGCTTCAATAGGTGAACGATTATAAATTTGAAAACACCAAAACCGAAATCACCAATCTCGCCATCCGGCTCCATAGCTCCCAAGCACCGTGCCACTGCATCAGCCGTCCTCACACATCCGCCCAATGGCTCCTTGGTCACGAAATCCCTTCACGGTTCAGGAGGATTCTGGTCGGCTGCCTACTCCTCCATCGTTGCACTCGAGAGAAAGAGTCCAGAAAGAGAGAAAAGTCGAGAAAGAGAAAAAGTCGACGAAGAGAGAGAGAAATGGAAATAAAAAAAATTAACCAATATAAAAGGAACACGTATGAGGGTTTTTATCAGTTCTAAAAACTTTATGTTCAGAGTCGGTTCTGGCCTTTTTATTTATTTTTTTATTATTTTTTTGATTTTTTCTGTTAGAATCTGGCATTAGGAGTCTCCATTGGAGCTGCTCTAAGCTTCCAGTATCGATCATGATCCTTGTAAGATTGAAACCGTCCACAACGATCTTGATGACCAGTGCGTTGTCATGTAGTTTATTCAGAGATAACATTTGGCTTTCTAGGAAGCTTATTTGCTGGTCGGGTCCTTCTAGAGATAGATTTACGGTGTTGGACTCGACCTTACCTTGATATGCCTTTATCGAATTAATTGAATCTTAGCATATTTTTGTGCCTCCACAGATGAAGTCAATCTGCTTCATTATAGGTAGCTCCCCCCTCCCCCTGAAAAACTGAGCTGTGCGTGAGCTAGAGCTCGCTTGAATTCGAGGTGTCAGAATTTTATTAGTGATTGGTTACGATGAGCTACCGAGTAGGTTGAGCTCTCGCCCCAGTGACCTTGTGGAACTTGGATGAGCCACGCTCGTGAGTTTATTGGGTGCGGGTGGGGGGGGGGAGGGGGTGATTACTGATTTCAATGACCAGCCGCAAAGGCTTAGTTCTCTGAAAATCAGGTCGATTCTTTTCCTCGCCAAAGGAGGAGAGTCTGGAATTTGGACTTCAACTTCGCGATCTCGTTTTTGAGGTGCCTTGTCAAGGTCTTCGTCCTTGTTTTTGGTCGAGGTTTTGTTTAGGTTTTTCACTTTTTTCCTCAGTTTTTTCGGATTTCTCCTTGGCGAGCTTTTTAGCTAGAATTTTAGCTCGAGTTCAGCATTCCTCGGTGGAGTGACCGTGTTTTTTGTGGTGATCACAAAATTTGTTTTGGTCAAAGTTTGACTCCTTTTTAGGGGATGAACTCTCTATAGCGTAAGCATGCTAACCCTTTCTTTGCGGTTCCCTTTTGGAAGGTGGAGTATTTGCTTTCTTCGACCCGGAAGGTGCGCAATGTAGCTCTCCGTTGCGCTATTTTTCTTCGCAGGCGGTTGTTTTGTCCTCAAAGTTAGTGAATATGGATGTGCGGTGGAGCGCGTCGTCAAGTGAGTCCATAGGTCGAAGCATAAGTTCTACGTTGAACTTTGACATGTACCATAAGTTAGTTTTAAGGACGAGCAAGGCTATTGCTTCATTAGGATTTCCGATTCTTGCTTTGATTGCCTTGAACTTGGAGATGTATAACCGAAGTGGTTCATATGGGGTTGGATTAGTTTCCAGATGTCGGCTTCAGATTCTCGGTTTTCGATAAAGATCGAGTTGAATTTTCTTCCAGTGTCGAACTATTCTTGGGCGTGTCTGACCAAGTTTTCGGCGAAGAGACTGCAGTCCCTGCTTCTTTTTCTTCTGTTGAGAAATTAGCTCAAATAGTAACAAGGTTAAAGAGTCGGATATGAGCTTTTGGGTCGCTGTTTCCAGCATACTCTGGGACTAGTACTTTAGTAGTGTCTCGGAGGTAAGTGTTGATGATCTAGTAAGTGAATGGAGTCCGTTGGGTCTCGCGGATCACTAGATCGATGTTGGGAGCAGAGCTCGTGGCTTGATGGAACATGGAGTTCATCTGCCAAAAGGCAAAGTCGGTATAATCCTGGAATCTTTCGAAGGATTAGCAGTCTACCAGGTTTCTTGAATCGATGATGGGCTGGTTGGCCTGAGTCTGATCATTTAGAGTGTGGGTCCCATGGGTTGTTCAAAGGTTGTGTTAGGAGGTCTCGAGTTCGAGACCGTATTTGGTCGTTGGCCGAACAAGAGAGGTTGCTGCAAAATTGAGGCGAAAGTCGAGGGTCTGAAGCATCTCAAACGACGTGACTAGGTTCCAGGTGCTCTCAAGGGCGGAGCTGGATATCTCGTGCCGGGACGGGATCCCATTTCAGGTATTCCTGATGCTCGCGCGGGTGGAGATGGATATCTCATCGAAGAACGAGGTCACATCCTGATATTCTTGGATTCGGAATTTACATGGTGATTGGTGCCAGATTCGCTGGGGGGGGGGGGGGGGGGGTGGGAAAAAATTTTGTGGACCTGGAGCACGCGATGGTGTCGCAAACAGTCCAGGTGGAATACTTGGAGCAGGAATCGACGAAAATTTGACCTGAGTCCGCGGAGGTGGACTCGCAACGGATCTAGCTGCAGCTTGACGCCTTTCTTGTCTTTCTAGTATGATCTCCTGATCTCTTTGTTGTTCGATCAGGTGTGTGAGCATCTGGAGTATCTCCGTTGATTCTGTTGTGCTTCTAGAGGCTACATATGGTTGCACAGAAGTATGAGCTGCTTGACTCTGAGGTGCCGAAGCGGTAGGAGAATTCTCAGATCGCACTGAGGTTCGAGAGACAGGCCTTTCGGTCATTTGTGAGTTATTGCTCATCGTTCCTGGTGGGGTAACGAGGTTGATTACGATAGAATCCACACGGCTCAAAACATTGGAGTTTGTACCAGTGGTGTCGATGAGGGTCGTGACTCTGGGTTCTTTTTCGCCGGTTGTCTAGTTGACGTTGCCAGTCGAAGTGATTTGATCTGGAGAGATCGGAATCGGGGAAGTGCATCCCGAAGGTTGTTGGGTTGAATCCATTTCGGTTTCAGCTGGCTTAGGATCTGCTCTTGTGGAAGAGAAATCTATTGATCTTTTTCCACAGAGGGCATCAAAATGTGGATGCAGAAATCCACACAGAAATTTATGTGTTTTTGAAAAGAAAATACTTTAGAAGAATGAATAGTTAGATTCTCTCGAACAGATTAACAGTATAAACAAGTATTAACCAAAATAAGGACTTGATATTAATCTGGTGAATAAAATGGTTACAGAATTTCTCTGAAAGAGATGAAGTGGAAACACGATTACAAAGTTTTTGAGTATCGGAGAGTGTAAAATATAAATGTCCCCCTAAACTAAGCAGCTTGCATTTTTTATATAGTTCCTCTTGTTGAGCTTCAACCTCCAGCGCGTATCTCGGCTACGTGCAATAAACTCTTTCGGAATCCTGGGCTCATTTGAACTGATGGGAATATGCTCTGACTAGGTATAGATCATCCTTCCTTATTTCTCAGGGTTTTATTGAACTTCAGCTCGACTTCGTCGAATAAAACATTTGATGTTTAAGTTTGAACCGTTGCAAAAATTGAGTATGGACCGTACAAACGAGGCCCAATCAATTTATATTTAGTTTAAACTTATTTGCTGGATTTGAGTAGACCAGATTTACTGTTTGAAATCCAGCTCAAACAAACATACAATTTTTTTTATACCATGCACGGGCGGATCATCTTAATAAGCCGATTAAAAACTTATTTTATTTTTAAAAGAAAGAAAGATTACTTAAGGCTGTGATTGGTAACCTGAGGAATCGCGGAATCGCGTCTAAAAACGCAATTACACAACTTTTTTACCAATCAGAAAATATTGTGAAATGTCTAAAAAAATTCAAAAACGTAAGAGTTGCGTTTTCACTTAAAAAAATACAAATAATACGTCATTAAGCGAATAAACGAGGTTGTAGTTGCTTTTTCATGGAAACAGTTGAAAATTAATTGTTTTTTTAATTTCCCATACAATAACATTAACTTATTTTGAAAACTCACTAATTCAACCATCATAGCAGTTAATTGTCCAATAGTAAGTTTTGCATGTAGCGTAATTAACTCTCATTTAATTGTTACCAATAATTATTCTTGCATGTAGAGTATTATAACTTTTTTTAATTTTTTTTTATTAATTAGAAGTAGTTGTTTGTTGCCGAGCCTATATATTAATAATCATCTTCGAAGTGTTAATACAATAACCATAAATTACGTTCAAAGTATCTTCCCTGAAAAAAAATCTGTGGTTAGTGTTATGGATTCTTCACCTACAAATCCAAATGCTTCAAGCATGTCAAATTCCAGGGAGGTATATTTTCTCTAATAGCTTTAATGTTTTATGCATTGTTCTGTGCTAGTTTCTATTAATTTTATGGGATTCAAGTATATAGAAATCTTATTTTTTTTTTTATGTATGAAATGTTTTACATGAGAGGTGGCTTTAAAGATTTACTAGGGGTCGAAAATGATTCTGCGAATGTTGATTAAAAACGTAGATTTAATTAAATTTATAAGAAGTCTTTGTTTTGTTTGTGTTTGTGTTTGAGTATCTCTCTTACTAAATCTAAATGAAATTTTCTATTTATAATTTAATTTTCAGAAGGAACGTTTAAACGAGTTGCACTCACGAGGGTTAGACATGCTAAACGAAGATGAAATCTCAGAGCTGTTGCATCTTGAGGATCATGTTATTGTCGATTTGCTTATTATGCCAATAATCGAGCATTATCAAAAATACTACAACAGAAAGCCTAAGGGAAGAGAATGGGGAGCTGGTTGGAGTCTAATCAAAAGTCATATAAATGGAGATCCAGTACATTGTCACGACTTGATAAGGATGGATAATCGCATCTTTACAAGTCTATGTGACAAATTACGGTGTGATTATGGTCTCTGCAACACCAGGCACATATGTGTCGATGAAAGTGTGGCGATCTTTCTGATGATATGTGCACATAATATGGTACAACGTTTTGTTGCAATCATCCTCGGGCATTCTCAGGAAACTATCAATCAAAAATTTCATGAAGTTCTCGAAGCATGTTTTTCACTTGCTGGTGAGTTAATTCCAGCACAATCACAACAAGATCTTGAAAGGATTTCTCAGGCGTTAAGTTGTAATTTGGACTACTGGCCGTACTTCAGAGGGTTCGTGGGAGCGATGCACGGGACACATATTCCCGTTAAAGTGAAGAAAACAGAAGCATCAATGTTTTGGAACCGGCACGGGTACGCAAGTCTTAATATTTTGGCAATTTGTGATACGAACATGCTATTTAAATATGCATGGATTGGAGTTCCTGGATCTGCCCATGATGCACGAGTGCTAACGATGGCTATGAGCGATGATCCAACTTTTCCAAAGCCTCCTCAAGATAAATACTACCTCGTAGATTCCGGATATGCAAATAAGCAAGGATTTCTCGCCCCATTTCGCGGAGGTCCGAGGTATCATCTCCAACAATTTCAAACCAGTGGACCACCACGTAATCGAGTGGAAAAGTTTAACAAGCTATACTCTTCACTTTGTTCGGTCATTGAACGTACTTTTGGCGTGTAGAAGAAAAAATGGAGAATCTTAAATGATCATCCTAGATATGATAGGAAAATACAAAATAAAGTGATTCAAGGTACGATGGCGCTACATAATTTTATCCGGATTTCTCAGATTCCAGATATTGACTTCGACCAAGCATCACATGATGATAATGTTTGTGGGCAAGAAGAAAACAACGAGGATCAAAGGACAATGCACGGTGAAGTGGAAAACAATACGATACGAGCCGAAGAAAGAAATGGAGGTCAATACATGCAAATCAACACAACAATAACCATAAGTCTCTCCATGGCTTGACACATTAGCATTTTCAAGCTTTTAGAAGATGACACTTCAGCAAAAAAAACACCAATAAAAACATTTCATTAATATAAGTCATCAATTTATTTTAACTTTTAAATTTAAACCCATTAAAAACTCAACTATTTTTTATTGTTAATTTTAGTTTTATTTTTTGGTCAAGCCCAAACCCAAACAATAAATAACAGCAAATAAAAAAAAATTTCTTTCATTTTTTTAACAAACCCAAATAATAAATAACAACAAATAATAAAATTAAATTTTTGTTTTATATTTTTGCCAAACCGAAACTCAAATAATAAATAACAGCAAAAAAATTAAAATTTCTAACTATGTATTTGTTTGATAGAGACATATATAATTGAAGAAAGTGTAGACTCATCATCAACTATGCTTCCATAATAACAATGCAAAAAGAGTTATGTTATAAGAAGCTCACACATCAGCAAAAATTTGAACCAATAAAAACATAACAATAATACATATTATTAACACACTAATAAAATCAATTTACTATTTTGCTGACCCATTAAAAAGCCCAAAGTTTACAAAAAAAAAATGGAAGGCGAAAGCAAATGAGGAGAAACTCAGACCACCACAGCTTGGAGATTCGCATTTCCACTGGTTACCGAGAACAAATTTTCTTGAGTTTGGTGGAAATAGAGAATTTCTTGGTTTTGGTAGAAAAATGTTGATTTCAGTTTTGGTAGGAAAACATAGTTTCTCGGTTATGGCGGAAAAAAACAAATTCTCGGGTTTGGCGGCAAAATGTGAATTTTTGGTTTTAGTGAGAAATAAAAAATTTGATTTTGACGAGAAAATGCGAGGGAAATGCAATTTTTCAATTTTGACGAAAAATATGATTTTTCGGTTTTGATAGAAAATACAATTTTTCGGCTTTTGATGGATAATGTAATTTCTTGATTTTTGTGGAAAATTGAAATTTGACAATTTTGGCAAAAAATACAATTTCTCGGGTTGATAGAAAAGTAAAATTTCTCGATTTTGGCAGGAATAAACAATTTCTTGGTTTTGATGAGAAATGCAAATTTTCAGTTTTTGACATATAATTTGATTTTTGGTTTTCGAGGGAAAATATGATTTCTTAATTTTCGTGGGAAACATAATTTTTTAGGAGATAATGTAATTTTTGGTTTTTCCGGAAAATTATAGTTTATCGGTTTTGGTAGGAAGGCGTGATTCTTGATTTGACGAGAAAAATTATTTTTTCTTGTTTTGGTGGGAATAGACGATTTCTCGATTTTTACGGGAACATAACTTTTTGGTTTTGACGGAAAAATACTATTTTTTGTTTTTGCACGAAGATGAAAATTTTTAGTTTTGGTCTGTTTTGACTGAAAAACACAGGTTCTCGCGGGAAAGTGTGATTTTTTGGTATTTGAGAGAAAATGCAATTTCTTTGTTTTGGTAGGAAAATGAAATTTCATGTTTGACGAGAAAATGATTTTTTTTTTGTTTTGGCGGGAATATGCGATTTCTCAGTTTTGTGAGAAATATTTTTTTTTTGTTTTGTTTGAAAATGCAATTTTTCAGTTTTTGTAAAAAGATAAAATTTCTCTGTGCTAAATTTTCAAGTTATAATATGTTTATAGTAACCAAAATTGAATTATTTAACTTCAACTAAATTGATATTTCAACAGTTCAAATAGAACTTTCTATTTAGTTCTAAAGTAATAGTAATAATTTTGATATAAATGTTATTGATTATAGTTTGGTAGTTTTAAAAACATATCTCTATAATAAATATTTGATAAATTAATAAATTTTATAATTTTAAAAAATCATATTAATTAATATTTTTTTAAAATGACAATTTGCTTTATCGAAGTTGTATGAAGATGAAACCGTTGATAAAAAAGAATAAAAAAAAAAAAGATTACTGAAGGAGAGAGTCGGGTGAAGAATAAAAAAAAAAGATTACTGAAGGAGAGAGTCGGGTGATTGGAGCCTTTTTTGTTGATCCGACCCGGGAATTGCCCTAACTTTCTCTAGCAAGTATGCCACATCGAGAAAGAAGAAAGTGACAGCAGAAGCAGCAAAAAAAAAACCCCAAGGATTCGATTCTCTCGAGGCAAAAGCTGCGGAAAGGAGTTGGGCGAGTTCGCGATGCAACCAGCCAGGGTAGAAGAATCGTCTTCGATTCATCACGAGACTAGAAATTGTTCCATCCCTTCCGGTGAAAATTCCGTTTGGGCCGATGTTTCTCCTCTCCTCTCCGCCGCTTGCAGTGGTACTTTCTCTCTCCTCTTTCTTACCTATGTTTGCTTTGAACTTTTCACCTTTGTTGATATTTTTGAAAAATCAAGGATCGGATATTTTTTCCTTTCCTGCTCTGAAGATTTTGTTTGTCTATAATCATGTTTTAGTTTAAGGGGGTGAGAATTATGAGATAATATGTGTTCAGTAGATTCTTTGGTTTAGACTGTAGATAGCTTGTGCCTAGTCTCATGATATTGTTTGGAAACTTCGACAAGGTTTCTACTAAAATAGCAAATTCTGCAATGTGCAATTGGTCATATAAGTGACAAGTGAGTTTTTTTTCTTCGTTAGTTGCCGTAGTTTCCCCTAGCTAGATGAGCAGTAGTGGACAATCATTCTCATGTAACAAGCAAAGAGGATGATGGATTTTCTAATTTTGTCTTTCCTTTTGCAGGTCTCCATGAAGGCGAGCTCATTCATGGAGATAATTTCAATCTTTTTGCTGCAATGTCTGCATTGGAGGTTCTACACAATTTGATTTTCAGTTATTAGTTTTTATATCTCCCGTACGTTCTTTATGTCTACAACATATAGTTTGTATTTCCATCCATTCCATTGTTGATTGAAAAAAATGTTTGGTGGCACTTGTTACTAACTTACTACTCTTAATCTTATTCTAGAGCTGATACGTAACTGTGCTTGGCGTGCCATTCTTTCTAAATAGGCTGCAATGCCTTATGCATCTTTTTTTCCTTAGTTCGCTTGCGAGCTTATTAACGTAACTGCATATTTCAAAGTTCCTTATGTTTCATAGGATTGTAGAAATCCATCTGTGCTGAAACTTCATTAGAGATGGAAAATAAGTTAACTAACATATAGCATCCTGTAAGTTACTGCTATTAGTTTGCTAGGTTCGTGTAGACTGCACCTAGATCCACACTAAGCTAGCTTGTGTAATTTCCATAATCTATCTCAAACATGGTGTCTAATTGATTCTAGAATTTCAGATTCTTTTTCATCCTCTAACGTAGTCCTTGCTTTGTACTAGATAATGGACCCAAAGATGGATTCCGGTATGGTGTCTGCATTTTATTCTATAGATGAAGCCATCGAAAGTGGTTTTGCGCCGGTCCCTATAAGCTCTGATAGAACTGTTAATGTGGAAAGCATCATCGACATTATGGACCATCTCCTGGTCTGCGAGGTAATGTCTATTAAAGATGTGCTAAAATAATACTGAAGTTAGTTGTAAGCTATAATTGTGAGTATACAACATCTCATAGTTTCTTTTCCGGGGGAGAACTAATCACTTCGCAGAGGATTCAAATATAGAGATCTATGTAACTAATACCTCTGCCTTGGAGTTGCTAATCCATAATTCGTGTCTTTTGTTTTAAAGTGTTAAGTGCATAAAGATGTTACCTGATCTTTGTTGATCTATTCTCTCTTGCTTATAAACTCTCTGCTCTTTTGGCAGGCAACATGGCACATGGGTCATTCATTGGCCCAAACTGTGTATTCATGCATCTATGTTCTGAGGCCCGAGAGGACATCTTCACAGGCTCTATTGCATTCTTTTTGTAGGGTCATACGAGCAACTTGCCGGACAGTTGTTTCTGTTGTTTCAGATACACGTACAAATGAAGTAATTAACTTTAACAAAGTTTTCTCATGACTCTCTCCCCTTGACTCGACAGATATCCTTGTTTTCATGAATATTTTACACAATGATTCACCTCTTACCTGCTTAATAACAGGAAGATGATCTTTTTACCATGACATATGGTCTTCCTTTTAGTGGAGATGAAGATGCTAAGGGCTTGTCACTCTTAAATGCGGTTGAGGAAACAATCTGTCGCCAGCTACGTGCTTGTAAGGCCACATCATCAAAAAGGAGAGCGCTGGAAGGTACTTTCTTGCTTTGTATATCTTCCTTTCTTATGTTACATGCACACGCTTGTAAAAACATGATACGAAACAAGTATTTATATTGATGGGATTGACGAGTCTTTTGTTACCTCTTTCTTTAATATTTTTGTTTGCACGTAATGGCAATTTAGAATAAGAGAGTATAACGAATTTGAATTCTGTATTGTGCAAATGCTCTCTAAACATATTCAAACTTGGAATTAACCTCTCTGGCCTATATATGATAGCTGTGAGTCTTCTACTCTGTGATGATATATGAGAAAGCTCTGCTAATCATTTCAATTAGTTTTTTCTTTCAAGGAAAAATTGACATCTCTCTGAGTTATATGGTTCATTTTATATTTGTAACACTGCTGCACAAACTGAGATCAAGGGCTTTCTTTTCAATAAATGATGCAGAATTGGAACCTCTACAAACCAGTCCCCATCTGGAAGAGAGTTTTTGCAAAGCTCTGCTATGCCGGATACGTTTCCGTAAGGTCTCATGCTTTGTTTATTCTTTCTTTGATATATGTTGTTACATTTTAATCGTTAATTACTGCTCTTCTCAACTTTGGAGGTCATGCTAATTGGTGGTTGATTTAGTGTCGAATCTGTTTCATTTAAAATTAGATAATATGCTGCACACCGAACACATTATTTAAATTGCTTACTTTGAAGAAGAAAAACTAGAATGGCAGTTAAAATGTGCATTTGGTGTTTTCTTCAGCTTTAGTTGCCTAGTGAACCTCACACATGGGTAAAATACTCGCAAGACCTTTGAGTCGTGATGTTAATTATAATTTCGTTCCAAAGCCATCTTTTTTTCTTTCAGCTGTCATGGACATGTGCATTGCTAGTTGTTTAAAATTTCTCAATGACTTTCAGCATTTTCTACACACACTTAATTGTATGAGACGACCACAAGGACGAGGCTTTGAATTGGCAAGGAAACACATAGCATCTTGCATATCTGAGCTAGATTCTGTCCTAGAGTCAGCGGAATTTCTAAGACTAGATCTTGTCGAAAATGGCGAAAACAAGATAGAAGAAAGGACAACTGCATCGGGTCGTCACCCAATTGGATTTGATCCTACTTTAAATAAGAGATTATCAGCTCCAACCCCACCGCGTGCTATTAAGCTTCTTCCTTGGAAAAAGGTTGGGACTTCCAAATTCTCTATATACATAATACATTATGAGAGAGAGAGAGAGAGAGGGGGAGAGAGAGAGGGGGAGGGGGAGAGAGAGAGAGGGAGAGAGAGAGAGAGAGAGAGGTTGAGGTTTTGTTTTATAACATTTTTTCAATTTTGACTCTGCAGGCTCTCGACTATTTTGTGAAACTTCTTCACGATCTGATCGACTATTTTGACTCTGCAGGCTCTCGACTATTTTGTGAAACTTCTTCACAATCTTGATCAGATCTGTGCATTCTCATTGGAACCAGATTTGGATTCCGTCTTGCAGTTTGTGATTCAGTTTCAAAAATCTCGTCCTGATTTGGTTTCTAGGGCTCATCTTCAGGTGCCATACTATTTTTTGATACTTTAATTTCTTGCAGTAATGTGCTTTCGCATACCCAAACATCAATTCTCCTTCTTGTTTTGTGTATTGGCTGTGGTTGCATTGAAGATGATGATGTCTATCATGGAAGACATGTTCAGATACATCCATTGTGGTGTGTTTGCATAGTTGAATATATTGCTTCTTTTTTGTCCACCCTTTCTTTGCTATGCAGTTTTGTGTTTGTTAGCACTCAGTTTCAGAGTTAGAGTTGAGTGAGTGACCCATAAAAATATGTTAAAACTCTCCTATATTTCTGAAAGAACAGTTGTAGGCACCTGGAAACGATGGATTAGAGAATATCCAACTCTCATAAACCACCTTTTCCAATCTGTTGAATCTTCTATTTATCCTCATTGTCGACTCTTACTTTCTAGCTGAGTGCTGGCTAGATGTTAAGTTATGGTGACGTGGGAATATGCAGTGGCTAGAATTCTTTTCTGTCTTGCGGATGATGACTCCTTCGTATATATAATACACGTAGTTGAGATTGATTCTGGTTATAAATTCCATTGAGCACTGATACGGTGGTCCGCTTTTGTCGTGATAGATGCAATATTTGTGAATTAAGTATGTATAATCTGTCGTCAAAAAGAAAAAAAAACAATATGTAATAATCTAACATTATACCTTTTTCGTTTTACCTAATGGCCTATCTTGTTTTACAGCTTCTTCTTGTGCAAGATGGGAAGCTTTATGGCCGTGATACCTTTTTGGCTGTTTGTGCCAGAGCTGTTGCATTAGATGTTACAAAGGACCATGCCCTTCAAAAGAATGAATACATTCTTCAACTTTGTCAGGTAAAGACGGTATATTAAAAGCTGCGTGGGCTTCATGTATTTTAGTTTTGCAAAGTTGTATGAGGTAGCTCTTTATTGATCCTTGTGAGGCACTCTGTCCAACGTCAGCATTGGACTTGGATTTTGGTTAGTGATTCATTAGATTGATACGATTGGATGGCCATTTCTTTGATAACGGTTTTAAAACTTGGTAAATCCTTGAAAAGAATCATATTTTAATGTTTGTGTTCAATTTTCGCTGTCTGGCTTTTACGTCACAATAATCAGAACTACTAATTTGTAATGATGAAGATTTTTTTTAGTAAAAATAGATTGCTTGTTCTTGTGGAGACTTTGATCCAAATGCCTGACCTTGATGTTTTCGGTTTCTGGTAGCCTCTGGATCCACGAAAGGGGTTACAAAGGGATTATTAAGACATTCAACTGGCTTCTTACTCACTCCATTTCATCTCTGTTTTTTTTTTGCGGTGCAGTTGATGATTAATCTACTTAAAATACTCTGTGCCAATACCCCATGGCAGAGGCGTAAGCTTGGGAAAATCTTAAACGACTGGAGCGTATTCCGTGTGCAGGTTAAACCTTTTTGTCTTGGGAAATCACAGTGTAATGTTTTTGTCCCGAAATTGGGACTGTATTGATTATTCTGCTCACCCTAAAATTTATGTGCACATCACACTGTTCTTGGTTTTGTGTCAGCATCTCATGCATTAATGTTCCTTTATTCGGCAGATGGGGATCACAGTTGGTCAGGCTATGCAGCAAGATACATCACGCACTCCGAAAAATGGGGTAGGTTTACTACCATCAATGTGCCTTGCAGCTACGTCAGGTCCATTTAGTCAGAACCCTATCTGGATCTTGTTGACAGCTGTTTATTCCGGAACTAGCCAGTAGTCTTACTTCCAACAACTTGTCTTTCTCCTTCCGAAATCTTGGCTCTATGGAGAAGCAGAGATGGAATATTGTGTTAACGTGCATCTCTGTACCTTTCAGGATAAGTCTCTGCTCATTTTAAATCATATTTATGGTTGGTTAGAGGAGCAAATCAATTGGGTGGCCTTTCGCTTTCTCATGCTGGGGTTTGACCTAGAGCTCTACTCTACGAGTGAATATTGCATGGTATACTGGTACATGTATATTACACTCTGGAAGCTCGCTGAGAGAGCACGTTTCAGAGTTTTAATTATTGTTAACACTGGTAAGCGTTTTATATCCATTTTTTTTGTTTTTTGTATCCTAGTGTTCGAAGATGAACCATACTGTTCTGTAATTGTATGTCTTTGTATTATGCACTTACGTGCCATCATCTGGATCAGAGGAACGGAAGGCAAAGATGAATAAGGATTATCATAGGGATATGGCTCGGGAAGATCGGATTAGTCTATGGGTATTACTTCTTCAATGCCAGACTTCCCTTGCACAGGGGCTAACAGTGGTACTTTTGTGTTTATTCTCTTGCTTTCAAGCTCCTTCCGTTGCTGTTATCAAAGTTCTTTTTTTTCAACCTGACCAATCCTTGTGCTTTACCTATAGATGCTTTCTGCTTTACGAAATCGAGGAATGTGTTTAAAAAGTCAGGGACCGTTCAATACCGAAAATGAGGTAAGCTTAAGTCCCTTCTCTGTTGCATAGTTGTGAGATGCAAACCCTCAGCTTCGGTTTTAGGTATGATCTCGACTTCTCATTTTTCTCTTATGCAGAAATTTACTCAGCATTTTGAACTCCTCCAGAAGGCGTCGCTTCCCGAATATGATGCATATCAATCATTCGCAGAATCCACATCTCATACCCGTCTCGACGTAAGTGCTCTGGTCATCTTTTTCTAGTGCTCAATCTCATTTACTTTGTCAGATGATCGTAGAACAGCGTAATTGTAGAATATTGGAACAAGATTGAATAATGTTTTTGTAAGATAATCATGTACACTACGAAGCTAGTATAGTGATGAATATAAATGTACCTTCCTTTTGCTGCAGTACCTTCCTGTGTATGAGTATTTTCGCGATGCTCAAAAGATCGCTAAGGACATAAAGGTCGGTTTCGCCAACGATCCTGTTAATTTGGCTGAAGTCAGGGGTTTAGAGCAAGTCGCGGAACACAATATTATTGCTGTTAATCTCATCAATCAAGACTGTTCGCTTAAGGTGTCGTTTCAGTTCACTCACCATCCTTATTTCGCCACTGCTGTTGTCCGTAGATCTTGAAACTATTTCTTATTGACTTGTTGTCATCCAAATCCAGTTTTGGGATATACCATTATGTTGTGGAAACAAATGTGCTTTTTAGTTTCGTCTCTCAGCTTTCATCACCTTTCCTCCTTTCTCTCCAATTTACAATATTTTTCTTTTAAAATTTTGTTGTTCTCCGAAACTAAATGATTATAATAAATCTTATTCTTGCATCTTTGTTCGAGAAACTTTTCAGAAAGTTTCAACAACTTTTCAGAAACTTTCAACAAATCTTCTGAAGATAAATTTACTAATTACTGTAGCTCACGTTTTCGAAGTCAATAGATTTCGATAAAAATACTGTAGCTTAGATCTCACGTTTTCTCGAAAAAACGGTCGAATAAAAAAAACTTAAATTTGAGAAGCAATTCTCTTTCAAACAAATACCAAAACTCATCATTACAATATTGATACTTAGAGCACGTGTAATAGAAAGATTTGATGAGACTCTAAAGAATAAAAAAAAAGAAAAAAAAAAGAAAATGATGTGGCAGAGACTAAGGAATAGAAACGCTTTTCTGCCCAGAGACGGAGGAACTGTCTCTCTCATGATGTGGTCCCAATTGATTTGCTAACATTTTTTGCTTTTTCTTTCTTTTTTGTTTTTTTTTAAAAAAGCAATTTTTTTTGTAATAAAAAAATGTTCCTGATACTCTTATACTAGTAAAAGCATATATTATCATTATAGAAGTACGAACGATATTAAGGTTTTGAGTGCGACTGCTCGCGATGCGACCATGACAGACGTCGGAGAGAGAGAAACCACCCAGACCCTCCGGATGGATCTGGATCGTGGGCCACAAATCTGATTCGTGGGCTACAAAGGTGAAGGGAACAAATGCAGGAGGGAGTCCAATGCCGGAAAACCCATTAGATGACGAGTTTGTGTCTGCGAGGTTAAAGGGTGGAGTTTTTGCAGGGAAAATGGAGAGCCGGTGGTTACAATAGACAGTGAGGTTTTGGAGGTGGTGAATAGCATGTGGAAACACCGTATGATCGTCAAAATGCTAAAGACAGAGTGTTACCATACCTGTCTTGAAACGCAAGTTGCGAGAGATGTGGCAACTGAAGGGAGCTATGTATGTGATAGATCGACCTCGGCAATTCTTCATCAGGTTTGAGATGGAGGATGAGTACTAGACTGCCTTGAGGAGGGGAGGGGTGGGGATGGAAAGCTTTTGGGAGTTATCTGATGGTTTTCCAAACTTTGATCCGTTGAGGAATGAGATCAACATGATTCTGGTATGGGTGCGATTGACACATATACCTGTTAATTACTATCACAAATTGATTCTCATAGACATAGCCAGCGGATTGGGTAAACCGATAAAAAGTGGATCTAACAACGTTAAAATTTGAGAGAGCGAGATTCTCAAGAGTTTGTGTCGAGGTGAACCTAGTAAAACCATTGAGAGAGACGATTATGGTTAATGGTGAGAGGTATTGCGTGGCCTATGAGGGATTGATGAACATTTGTTCGAGCTGTGGAATATATGGGCATTCGGTTCATTCGTATCCAAAGATAGCAACATAGGTGGAAGTGGTGACAACATCACAACGGCGGGTAGAGAAATGATTGAGTCACCACAAGGAGAGAATGAGTTGATGATTGTGCAGAGATCACGGAGGAGGGTTGTTTTGCCTCCAAGTCCGATGGTTTTTGCGGCGGGTTCTACCAGGGGTGATTCGGAAAGAAATCTGCATGAAATCTTAAAGAATATACAGCAGGAAATTATTGAATTTTTAAATAGATTTGGAGAGCTGGGGAAGATACGAATCTACATGATTTAAGGGAAGTTGAGAGAATAGGAGAAGTGGATAAAGAAAATGTGAATATTCGGGGTTCTCAAAGGCAAGAAAGGAGTTTAGGGCAAGGAAGAACCATTTTGTTGGGTGGGGGTTTCGAAAGAAGATAGAATGGAGGGTATGGTGGGCTACAAGATAAAGGGGGCCGCAACCAAGAAGCCCATTGATGAGAGTAAATCAAAAGCTAAAAGCGTGCTAAATAGGCCCATGAGTGGTTTAGTATTCGGCCCAACTAGGGGAGAGATTGAACTTTCAGAGTTGGGAAAAAGACAAAAGGGGGGGGGGGGGGGGGGAGAAAAGTACTGCAGGGAGATCTGGTGGAGTGTTGTGAGCACAACCGACAGGGAGATGGAGAGCCACGAGTTGACCCTTGGTTTCGAGAGAGTAGCAGGACAATTGACTCCTAATTCGAGTAGAGAGGGTTTGCACGAGCAGCCAAATAGCAGCATGATACCATCGGAGGAGATGGGATCATGAAACACATGACAGGGGGCCCCGATGTTTTAATGAATTGTCTTTTTGTGGAATTGCCGGGAGACGAATAACCCCAATTTTCGAAGGTCTATTTGATATATGTTGAAGAAGTGGAGGACCGACATTCTAGCCCTATTTGAGACGCACACAGAAGGAGATAGAGCAAGGCGCATATGTCAAGGTTTATGGTTCGATGGGTCGTTTCAAGTTGATTGAGTAGGCCATAGCGGAGGCTTGTGGCTGCTGTGTAGATCAGAAATTGGAGATGTTAATGTGATAGACTCGACAGAGCAGTACATTTATGCTAAAGTGGGTAACGGAGAGGAGAGTGTTCACCTGATTGTGGTCTATGCGGCTCCAACAATGAGCAGGAGAAGTGGTTTACTGAGGCAGTTAAGCAATATAATCCAGAGATTGGACGGACCAGTAATAGTTGGAAGGACACTTCAATACCATTGTCCATTTGAAAGAAAGAACAGAAGGTAATAGTCGTCTGTCTTTGGATTCGTTGGCTTTCGGAGAATGGATGAATGAGCTTTCCTTAATCGACATGGGATTCACGTGGAATAAATTTACTTGGAAGAGAGGACTTGAGGAGAGGAACTAAGTTGCGAAGAGGTTGGATCGGGTACTCTGCAATGCGCATTGATGACTACAATGGCAGGAAGCGCTTGTCACTCACCTCCCCTTTTTGTCGTCTGACCATGCACATCTTAATATTCAACTGGAGCCAGGTGTGAAGGGTAACCCAAATAGATGTCCGTTTAGATTTCAGGCAGCCTGGTTAAAGCATACAAGATTTAAGGAGTCACTGGTAAACTCGTGGAGCGGGGAGATGAGAATACCAGATGAGTTGAAATTACTGAAGGAGAACCTTGAAAAGTGGAACCGGGAAGTCTTTGAGAATGTTCAGAAGAGGAAAAAACTGTTAGTTAATGAGATCAAGACGGTTCAAAACTTGCTAGAGCTGAACCAGACAGATGACTTATTGACGAAGGATGCCTCTTTACTACAGGAATTCGGTGTTGTACTACCACAACATGATCTAGTTCCAGAAATCTAGAGAGAGGTGGATAGCGTTAAGGGACCCGAACACTAAGTATTATCACACCACCACGATTGTGAGAAGGAGAAGGAATCAGACTGAAATGCTCAAAGATGAAGAGGGTAGATGGGTCTCTAAGTCTGGAGCATTAGAGAAGTTGGCTATCGAGTACTATACAAGACTATATTCTATGGATGATGTGGATATGGTGGTGAATAGCTTACCGGCGGATGGGTTTATAACTTTAACCCGAAAGGAGTTAGATGATATACAAAAACCCTTTTTAGCCGAGGAGGTGGAATACGCAATACAAAGCATGGGGAAGTATAAAGCACCAGGACCAGATGGTTTCCAGCCCGTCTTCTACCAGGATTGTTGGGAGGTGGTAGGGACCTCAGTGTCTAGGTTTGCGTAGATTTTTTTCGGACATGCCATTTCCCGAAAAGTACAAACAACGCTATTGTGGTACTTATTGCAAAAGTTTTGAAGCCTGAGAAGATTATGCAATTCAAACCAATCAGCCTTTGTGATGTCTTGTTGAAAACAATTACAAAATGATGGTGATGAGACTTAAGAGAGTTACCACAAAGTTAATAGGACCAGCACAATCAAGCTTCATCCCGGGAAGGTTGAGCACGATAACATTGTAATAGTACAAGAAGCAGTACATTTGATGAGATGAAAAAGGGAGGAAAAGGTGGATGATGCTGAAATTGCACCTCGAGAAAGCATATCATTTTTGGGATTTCTTAGAAAATACTTTTTGGACAGTGAGATTTCCTGAGGCTTGGGTCGGGTGGATAATGCAATGTGTCTCAGGACCTTCGATGAATTTACTTTGGGACGGAGAAAAACAGAGGCTTTTGACCCTAAACGTGGAGTACGACCAGGAGATCCCCTGTGTCTGTATCTTTTTGTGCTCTGTCTTGAAAGATTGTGGCATCTCGTCGAGAAATCGATTGCCAAGAAAGAGTGTAAGACAATTTGCATCTCTCAAGGTGGCCCAAAATTGTCACATATAGTTTTTGCGGATGATTTGATCCTATTTGCGGAAGCTTCAATAGCACAGATTCGGGTAATACGGAGGGTGTTGGAGAGGTTCTTTGTAGCGTCAGGGCAGAAGGTCAGTCTGGAGAAGTCGAAGATCTACTTCTCTGCAAATGTAAGTCGCGAGTTAGGGAAACTTATAAGTGATGAAAGCGGGATTGGGTCAACTCGGGATTTGGGGAAGTACCTCGGAATGCCCGTGATTCAGAAACGTATCAACAAAGACACTTTTGGGTAGGTGTTGGAGAAGGTGTCTTCAAGGCTTGCGGGTTGGAAGGGACGAATGCTGAGCTGATGAATTACACTTATGAAAGCAGTTCTTTCCTCCATCCCAGTGCATACGATGAGTACTATCTCACTACTGAAGTTAACTTTGAACAAAATAGACAAAGTTTTGAGGTCCTTCCTATGGGAAGATAATACTGAATAGAGGAAACAACATCTTGTTGCTTGGAAAAAGATATGTCTACTGAAGTGTGAAGGAGGATTGTGTATTCGAATTTTGCAGGATATGAATAAGGCTCTTTTAGCAAAGCTGAGTTGGTGATTACTTTATGATGATAATAGTCTTTGGGTAAGAGTGCTGAGGAGCATGTATAAAGGCTCCGATGTTCGGGATGCAGCATGGTTTAATGCCAAAAGGGATTGGTCATCAACGTGGCGAAGCATAGTGATGGGAATGCGGGAGGTGGTGTTACTGGGGCTGAGTTGGATTAATGAGAATGGACGGACCATCAAGTTCTGGAAAGATAAATGGTTGACTTGTGACTCAATTCCCCTTGAGTCTGAAAATCAGATCATTGTAGCATAAGGGGTTATCAATCATTCATGGGATTACTATAGAG